ATTCACCCCAGGTTTTCCAAAGGAAAGTTTAATTCACAATCCTTACATTCTCACACATCAGGGCTCTCTCCTTTCTAGAACCTTCTGTCTTTTGTGGTCCGGTTGTGCTCCAGCCTACCTCACGCTGTCATCATGTGGCATTCCTCCATTTCCCTTCCTAGGATATCCCTTTGTCTCTCTCCTACGCTGAACTTCTTGTCTTTGTGTTTTCCTGTTTTGGGTCTTTCTTTCTCTAGTTTACTTTTTTGTTTTGGTGGAGCATATCCGTCAACATCTTCCTGAGAAGGGGGTGCATGGAGTATAAATATTTTGAGACCATAAATGTCTACCAATACCTTCATTTGTACCCTCAAACCGTGAAGGATAGTTGAGCTGGGTACAGAATCTTAGCCAGAAAATCCACTTCCCTCAAAAGAATACCTCGTATTTAAGACTGGAGAAAGCCTCTGGGCTTTGGGGAAAGTTCAGATGGTGTGTCCTGGCAGGAGGGGGTTAGTCTGGCTAGATGGGTCTGGCCTGGCTGCGACATGGTGGTGAGAGCAGAAGGCAAAAGAGACCAGGGCAAGCAGCCAAAGCCTTAACCAAGACAAGGAGTTTTTCCTGGGAGCAGTGAAAGCTGTTCAGCAATTCTGACAGAGGGTGAGATGCTCAAAGTCTCATTAGAGGAGGAAGGTCTTAGGTGACCTACAGGCCTCAGTGGGAGAGAAGGGAAACACTACAAGAATGTGTGGCCCAAGACTGACCTGGTAGGAGCAAGGCTGACCCCTTGTGTTGTAAGATAGAAAGGTACCAGACATATTTATGCTGGGTCCAGCCCATCTCTTGTCCCACTGAAGAAACTGAGGCAATTCAGGACCTTCTTGTCCCTGTGGTCCCCTATAAGCATTCATGACCAACCCACCTGGTCTGCCCCACTCCCTGTCCCCACAGCATCTGGCCCCATTGACCTCCTTGGAGCTTTCTTCTCCTAACAGGGCTTAGGAATCGTGGCTAAGGTCAAAGATCTCGGGGTGGGGTTGGGGGGCGGTGTTTAGGGATCGCCTCCAGCTGGGCCCTGTTGGGTTGACCTGGTGACATCTACCCTGCACATGCCCCCTGTCTGCCAGCCCATCTCCAAGACCTCTCACGGAAGGAGCTGGGTCTCTGGAGACAGGACCATCCATTTGGTTTCCCCTGTTGGGGTCTCATGGCCCATGTCTCAGAGTGGACTCACTCTGCCTCTTTAGATTCCTCTGCAATAGCCAACTCTTACTCTCCCAGGGGCCAGGGCTTGGGAATCCAGCCTCATTCAGGAGACGGGTTCTGAATTCTGGGTGCAGAGCTATCACCAGCTGCAGTGCTGGCCAAAGGCAAATGGGTTGGCAATTGCCATCCTGCTGTGGGTAAACAGAGCCCAGCAGTGAGAGCCTGAGGGTGAGGATGCAGGTGGCAGGAGCAAAGAGTCCAGGACCCTGAGGCCCTTGGAGCTGATCCAATGTAAACCACTTTTACAGATGGGAAAACTGAGGTGCAGAGAGGTGAAATAAGGACCTCTTAAGCCACACAGTGAGTTAGTGGCCTCTATAGTTCTCTTTCTACTGACAACAGTCAGTCTCTCTCTCTCTCTCTCTCTCTCTCTCTCTCTCTCTCTCTCACACACACACACACACACACACACACACACACACACACACACACACACTGGTTTGTCTGGCACATCTACACTTCCGATATACACATATTGGCAAAGATTTCCTGACATAGGTTTCTGCATCTGGGTCCTAGACACTAGGAAGTGTGCTGTGGCCAGGAGCTCGTGAGCCTGTGTGTGCTGGAGAGGAGGGCTAGGAACGTGGGAATCCCAGAATCTGCAGAATCCCAGAAAGCTAGACTCCTCATCTTAGGGCGGGAAGCCCGAGGCCCAGAACCGGGTGGGCAGGACCTTGTCCAGTCGCAGAGCCGAGCCAGTCAGTCCCATCAGCGCCATTTCCATGTTTCCATCGCTCCATGAATAATTAGAGAAAGTTAAACAAACATAATTTAATTGCCTGTTGATGACAGAATGCCAGGGGCACCATAAAACCTGCCTGGTCTCAGAGCGCCTGCCAGGGCAGGTGGCATGGGGAGGCCAAGCTGGTGGCCTCACCCCTGCCCACTGGCTGGGCCTCCCAGGTCTCTCCTCAGCTGGGGAGCTGGACCCCTGTGCTCACTGACAGCCAAGCCGCTCTTCACCTGCCAAACTGGGTGCCCAGTGCCAGAGCAAACTGGGCCCGGACCCAGCACACTTTCCAGAAATAGGTTCCTGTGAGAGCCCGAGGCTCCCACCTCCCTCTGCTGACCGTCCCCCCTGCAGAGAGTCCTATTCCTTGCCTCAGACCCTGGAAACACTCTGTTCAAGGCCCCAAAGGCGGCTATAATGATCCCTGGGTGGGGCTGGGGCTCTAATTCACAACCCGCCCAGTCCAGCCTCCTCCTGTTCTTCCTGCCACCCCAGGGTGGGGTGGTGCCCTCCTGTGGTGTGGAGGGGGAGCTAGGGCTCAAGCGGGGCAGTCCTCCAGAGGCTGTTCCCCATAAGACGTGGTCGCTCAGAACAGTTCATGGGCCTTTGCTCCAAGGGCAGGCACCCCCATTCACAGCCCTGCCGCCCGCCCCGTCAGTATTAGCACAGGGTCACTAAGGGGCTCATGACCAGTCACCTTGGCTCCAGGTGGATGAGGGGATGGTTGGGGGAGGAGGGAGGTAGATAGAAGGGTAAGGGAGTGAATGGGTGGGTAGATGGGTGGATGGATGAACAAATGGGACCCTGTTTGTTTGGCTCTCTGTCTTTCCCATGAAAGACTTCTTTCAGAGGCCCAGGAACCCAGGAATACTGGACTGTCTGTGTTTAAGAAGGGGGCACTAAAGCCCCCTCAGGCTTTTACCCTGTGGCTTGGTCTTGTTGACAGGGAGCCTTTGAAGACCCCGCTATTTCACCAGAGGGTTTCCCCCAATGTCAGTGCTTGTGTGCCTTTCCCCTCAGGGGGGTCCCTGTGCCCAAGGAAGACCCCTCCCCGCTCCAGCCTGGGGCTGTCCCGGCCTGAGGGAGGAACCCTGAAAGTTCTAATGTCCTTGTTTTGAATTTGAAGAGGCTGGACCTTTCATTTACTCTTCTGCTTCTCTTTGTCCTGTGGTTTATACCTTTCCCTTTCTTTACCATCCCTTTTCTGGGAGAAACTAGAGGGAACAGAGTGTGTTCACCCCCCACCCCCTGTTTAATCAGAAAACCACCCCCTCTCTTGCTGGTCTTTGTGAAGTCCTACCCCAACCCAGAGTCAGACAACTGTATACATTCTTCTAGTTGTTTTAAAGTTTCAGTGTTTATACCTCAGTCTTTAATCTGTTTTATGTATTGAGGTTACTGACAAGGTTTATTGAGGGGGGAGTTCTGTTCCTAAAAACTGCTTATAAACCAGTGACTGGGCCCAGCCCCGGGGAACAAAGAGGGAGGTGGGAGTGAACGGGCCTCTGCCGCCCACGTAGTAAGCCTCGTAAACCCAGGTAGGACCAGTGAGCAGAAAGCAGTGGGTATCCGCCTCCCTGGCCCTGAGGCTGGACACCCCTGGGAAGGACACAGCCTGAACCACCTCTTCTCATGGCTCAGGAGCCCCTGGCTGTCCCCCCACATCTCTCACAGAGCCATCACCATTTTAGAACAGGGGCATTAGCAAAGTGATTTGCATTCAGTGACAAAGATGGGGTACCTTTCCAAGGATGGGCGGGGCTGATGGTGTGGGGCCTACAGAACCTACTGGTGAGCATGCAGGCCTCATTGCAGCCAAAGGGGCCTCCGCACACCAACTGGGACCTATTGAGTTACCCAAATACCTCTCAGGTCCTGTGTCTGTTTAACTAGAATGGGGTTCCTGTAGGGTTAGGCTTTGAACTGAGCGAGGGATTTAGTCATCCCTTGACTTCTAGAGCAATAAAAGTTCTTTAGAACAGCTTTGAGCCATCTATTTCCTCGTTAAAGAGCTCCGGTTCTCTGGGCGAGACAGACATAAACAAATAATTACAGCCCAGGGAGATGTATGCCTGGGGATTAACCATTGCTGGCCTCCTAATTGGCCTTCTGGCCTCCGGTCCCTCCCACTCCTACCCTCTGTACACTTTGCTGCCAGAGTGAGCTTTTAAAAATGCAGATCTGACCTTGACTTTGCTGCCCATTGGCCTCAGGGTACTGCCAAGATCCTCTTGCCAGTACCTCTGTGTTAAGGCCCAGCCCACCACTCCAGCGTTGGTGACTCCCAGGGGTGCTGCGATTTGGCCAGGCTGTGGGCAGATCCCTATTCTCTTCCCTTGCAGGCCTCAGCATTTGTTCTTCCCTCTGCTGAACTTGGCCTCTCTCTGCTTCCTCACCCAGCCAATCACTCACTGCATATCCCTCAGGCCTCACCTTAGATGCCACTGCCTCCAGGATGCCCTCCCTGACCACCCCCCACCCCAGACTGGCTTTGGAGTCCCCCATCATCTTCTCTTGCACATTCTGTTCTTACAGTCCTATCATAGACCTTACCAGCTTGTATCTGTCTGCCCATCTCCTTCCCCAGATTATAGTTCTCAAAGTCAGGGAGCACATTTCATTTATCATCCATTCATCAGCTATATTTTTGAGCCCTTATTTTGTGCCAGGTGCTGATGCTTATGGGCAAACAAAATAGATAAAGACTCCACCCCTCACAATGCTCACAGGCTGACAAGGCATCCAGGTGCTGGCTCAGTGCTGGCTCAGACACTTTGCTGAATAAATGGATGGTACAATGTGCTGTGGGTGCTCATAAAGGAGGTTTGGTGCTCAGGCAGGCTGCATGGAGGGGATGCTGAGGATAAGGCCCTGAAGGATGAATAGGAGTTTTCTAATAAAAGTTCTCCCAGGTATACCAATCAGAGATTTTCCTGCCTAATACCCAGAGGCTGTCCTGGAGGCTGGGTATCTCTCTCACTAGTATCTATACTCCACTCTCATCTGGGCTCTTTTCTTTTAGAATGCATGAACTGTACCCGGCTCAGCGACATGAGTGAGCGGCTGATCACGCTGGAGGCCAAGGTCAGATGGTTTGGGGAGCCTGGGTCTGGGGAGCTGGCTGGGGGGAAGGTGTAGCAGGTACCTGCAGAGTGAGACCAGGGAGCCCAGCTGGCCTGAGCAGTCTGGTCCCAGGTGCTGGGTACTGCTGGGGCCTAAGTGGCTCTGGGTGACCTTCTGTAGGCTGGGTCAGCCTCCTGGGGTTGGGAAGAGGAGTGGGGAACGCAAGAGATCTGAAGGTCCCGGGCAGCAGGCTGGTCTGAGTGTAGGCCTTGGGGGCTGGGAGGGTGGATGCCCAGAAGTTGGCTCCTCAGTGGAAAGAGGAGGTAGTGGCTGTCCCACCAGGGCTACTGTCCCCACCTCTGGCTCCTCCTCCCACTGTCTGGCACAGGGGCTGGTCACAGAGGAGTTGATGGAGGAGGAGCCTCCCAGCACCAGCCAGCCCTCAGCCTGTCTGTATCAGGGGCAGGAGCAGGTCCCTCCAGAGGCAGAAGACTTGATAAAGGATAAGTATTAATTTGTGAGTGGCCCCACGTGGGCATTGGAAGAGGCGAGAGGAAGTAAGTCAGGGAAGGGGAGGATGTTCAAGGTGCAGGTGTATTGCTGGGGCAGGTTACCTAGGAAGCCCCTCCAGGAGCTGGTGCAGAGCACGCTGCAGAGCAGACCCTCAGGGGTGAGGACGCTCCCATCCCTCACTGGGCGAGGCATCTGCTGGGTGGTATTCTCTGTCACTCTGGCCTGCCCCCAAGCTCACTCATATGGTCAGAGAAAGCCCTTGGCTGGTACAGGTATGGAGAAGGCAAAGTAGGGAGGGCAGGGGCTATGCCCTGGCTGGGCCCGTTCTCTTTAGTACCTCATAGGGTCTGAGAGCAGACACGGAGTGACTGGCTAGAGGGGCTGGGCCTAGGGAAAGACAGGCCTCCAATTTTCCACGGAGCCACTTGGGGCAGCGAAACTGCAGAGGGCAGGAGGTCGCCTGGCACTAGGAGGCTGCATTTACCTGAGCCTGAGGCAGAGCTCCCAGCTGGGGCAGGTAGTGCAGGCCAGGTAGGGGTGTCCTGGCTATAGGAGGCAGTGCAAGCGTGGCCAGCTGGCAGGGAGGACAGAGTGAGGCCAGAGCACCAGGTGGGCTGAGAGACCCCCGACAGCAAAAACCCTGAGAGCAGGCCCAGAGTTCAGGCCCCCAGCCCAGGAAAGCCCCTCTGCAGACACATGTGCACATACACGTGCACATGCACACACATGCCCGCACGCGAGCATGCGCACACACACACGGACACCACAGAGACACACAGATACACATGGATACACAGACACATGCAGAAACACAACAGACACATACCACACACACACACAGGCCAGGGTAGGGGCTCTGTGTCCTCCTGGGGGCCAGTGGCTCTGTGGGGCTGGGTGTGGAAGTCCTCAGGGAGCAGACGTTGCCATGTGGGTCAAGCCAGGGATGGGGCAGCCCTGGGAGGGGCTGGGGTGCTGGGGAAGATGCTAGGATGAACTTCTGGCACCCGGGATTTTAGAAAAGGGGGGGGTCCCCGGGCCAGCTGCCTGACGGACATTTTCCAGGCACCTGAAGCCTCTGCGTGGTTTGGCAGAGCAGCAGCCCACAGCCTGCCCTGGCCCTAGCCCAGGACCTCGGGGTGTTAAAAGTCACAGCTCTGGGGGAGGACTGGCACAGTGCCAGCTGTCCCCACCCACCTGGCCCTCACCCATGCCCTCCTGCCATGAGCAATTCCTTCCCCCATCTTCCTGGCCCTGACACCTCCTTCCAGCCAGGCCCCTGCAGCACGGTCTCAGACAGCAAGCTGGGGGCCAGGCTTGCTCTCCGGTCCTGAGTGTGAAGACTGTCACTTCTCTGCAGACCTCGGGGCGTGGGGGAGGGACACCTGGATGTGTTGGAGGAGGCAGGGTTAGGATTCCTGTCCTAGCAAGAGCCCTGTCTTTGGTAGGTCCCTCTTAGCTCTGGGCCTCAGTCTGCTGCCCTGTAAAGTGGAAATGTAAGGAGTCACTTCTCTGCCCCTCACTGGCTCGTTTTGAGGCTGGTATACAGGGGGCAGCTCAGGTGGCTCTTGGGTGGGGACTGGGAGAGGTAGTTTGAATCTGGGGTGTGCAGAAAGGTGGCTGCACCACCCTCCTTGTGGGGAGCCCAGCTCAGCAGGCCATCTCCTTCCGGATTCCCAGGTAGGGGCTGAGAGACTCCTATCTCAGCTCCTGGGTCTTGTCTGGGTCTCATTCCAGCTGCCCACCTGCCTGCTCCATATCTAAGTGTCTTCAAGAGAGACAGGGCCACTAAGAGTTTTGTTGGCCTGGGTCAGAGGGCCTTGAGAGGCAGTGGCCTGGAGAGAGAGAAGGACACAGTTTGGGTGAGTTGTCAAATCAGCCCAGCATCCCCAGGGGCTGTGCGAAGGCCAGGTGAGCCAGCAGGGGTCAGAGAACATGGAGCGGGAATCAGCCAGGCCAGAGGCTGGAGTCTGGGGGCTGATGGCAGAGCCAGTCAAACCAAGTAGCTTACACAGAGAGCAGCAACCCAGAGGCCTGGAAGCTGAGTTATGCTACCTCAGACAAGAAGCCGTTTTGGTGTGTCAGGAGGGAGCTTTCAGGTATAAATAACAGAAACCTAGCTAATGGCAGCTTATTCCTTAAAGGCATTTATTGTTTGTTCAACCAAAGGTCCAGGAGGAGGTGGTCCTGAGATTGGTTTGGTGGCTCAAGAACCCACGCTCTTTACAGCCTTCCCCTCCCTCTTTAGTGAATTGTCTCTTGTCCTTATGGTCCATGCCTCATGGTTATAAAGTGGGTGCTGCAGCACAAGGCATCACATCCTAACACCGTGTTCAAAGTCAGGCAGTAGGGGGTGAGACAAAGCACCCCAACAGACTCATTGTGTCTCATTGGCCAGCACTGTGCTATTTACCCACACCCTAGTTGCAAGGGAGCTGGGAAAATGAGTACCTGGCCAATTACAGATTCTTCCTTTGCGGCATAGCCACAGGTACACAATAGGGAGTTCTGGAGTCTGGGAAGAGGGGGTGGTAGGGTCCAGGCAACCATCAAGGCCTGCCCCATCTTAACTTGCTATGGGTGCCTAAGTTACCAAAGGACCCAGACCTAGCAACTGATGTGGGATTCCTGCCACCCTCCTTTCCTGGGACATCTGGAATGGCTGTTGGAAGAAGGTAGGGCAGAAAGCCAGCAGGAAAAAGCTTCCTGCCTTCCTCCTTCTCCTCCCCCTCAGTTTACACTCTGACTTCACGGACCACAAGGAGTGGGAGGGAGCCCGAGGGAACTTCCTTGCATGAGGGTCCTAGAAGCCTCGGAGTTCGGCTGATGTCTGGTGCCAGTCAGCCAAGCCACAATGACATCATTAGGGCCACTGCCCTCATAGGCCGTGCGGTCGGGTTTTCTTGGGCCGAGGCCCCACGCCTACTGCTGCCTGCCCTGGTGAGCTCATTCCCGGCAGGGTGGGATCAGTTTCTCCAGGAGGATGGCCACGGCCAGGCCAGGAGGGCTTGGACTCCAGCCGGGGCTGATGCTGACTTGGCTGTGGTCAGCGCTCCTCTGCCCAGGCCCATGGGCTCTGTGGGCCCTGGGGTCTGTATGGGAGGTGGCCCAGGAAGAAGTGAGCCAGGCCTTTTGTGTGGGGGCAAGGCTGCATGTGGCAGGTCCCCTCAAGGAAGCCCAGAGGCCGGCCATGAAAGGAGACCACCAGGGCCTGCCCGCAGGAGCCCAGAGCAGTCCCACCTTTAATGCCTACCTCCTACTCCTCTTGGCTACTCCCTGTTGAATATGTCCATATGGAGGTCCCCTCAAGACACTGCAACTCAGCCCACACTCCCATACTGGTCACCTTTACCGCCAATCTTACCTTCTCCCGTGCCCCTGTTCGACTGGTGGCAATCCTACCATCCCTGGAGCCAGGCCAAAACTGGGGGAGTCACTCCCACCTTCACCCACACCCCTACCTAGAAGCCTCAGGCACCAGGTCCTACCTGTTTTCCTTACGTCCTCTGTCCCGGGTCCCCCCCATCACCTGCCATCGGCAGCCATCTCTCCCTGCCCCTGCTCCCCAACCTCTCCACTGCCCCAGAGCCCCCGTCTGTAACCATCCAGCCAGCTTACCAGTGAACACTCTGCAGTTGAGGCAGGAATCATAACTCTCTCGTCCTCCCAGGGTTTCCAGGGTCAGGAGACCAGGTTCTACCCCCAAGCTGCTGTGTGGTCTGAGCCAGCTGTTCCCCTTCTTTGCGCCTCCGTGAAGCTCTGACGCGGCCAAGGCTGTGGCTGCTCGGTGGGGAGGTGGACGAGGCACCACGTGGGGCTCTGGCCTTACTATCTGCTCGCTGGGTGACCTTGGGCAAGTCACTTGTGGTCTCTGAACCTCTATTTCCACCTTGCTTGTGATGTGGCCACAATGACCCTTCCTGCCTCATGGACCCGTCTGAGGACCAGATAGGGAAGGGACTCAGAGACATTATCGGAGTCTCCTGCGGCAGGAGCCCACCTGCCCAACACAGATGGAAACCCTGAGACACTTGGTTCTCAAGGATCTTTGGAGACTCTGTCACCCAGACCCAGAGACACGGCCGAACTGGTGGGGGTGGGGGTGCTCAGGAGGACCCCTTGCTACATGCCTGGGAAACCTCAGCCCAGCCCAGGCCTGAGCCCTGTGAAGGCAGCTGTTTGTCCCGTGAGCCACTGGCAGGAGTCACCAGGCGCCCATGTGCTACTATTCCCATTCTCTCATGGCCCTACAGGGTCAGTGTTATCACCCCATTTTGCTGATGGGAAAACTGAGACTCAGAGAAGTCATGGTGCTTGCACAAGGTCACATAGTGACCACCTAGTGGGAGAGCTGGGATTCAAACCAGCCTGCATGTCAGCGGGGCCTGAGCCTTCTCCCATCGGGCAGCACTTAATCTATGCCAGGCTCTGGGGGGCAAGAGCAGGGGTGCACCTGATTCAGGTGGTCCTGTTTCCTGGGGGCCCACCTGGTGGTATTGCTCCCACCATCCCCGCCGTTGGCACAAAGCAAGTGTACAGGGGCTGAGGGGGGGGCCCCCTTCTGCCCAGGGGGTGAGACAGACTGTAGGGAGGAGAGGACGGCTCACTGGAGTCTCAGGATCTTCCTCAAGAGGGAAGGGCAGGGCTGGCAGAGGGCCCTGCCGGAGCAAGGGGCTGCAGGTGGGGCGTCTCGGGGCGTGAGGGGCTGTGGGGGTCGTTCAGGGCTCCTGGAACAGAGCAGAGTGGAGGAGCTGAAGGCGAGGCCAAGGAGGGGCAGGGCAGGACGAGAAGGGCACTTGTGTGGGGGCACTGGCTATATGAGGGAGGGGACTGGGCAGGGTTCACTTGGCATGAGGTCCTCATCCCACTGCTGTGGTGGGGAAACTCTAGGAGGGGAAGGGGTCAGGTGGAGGCAGGGATGACAAGGGGCTGCTGTGGAGTGTGGGGCCACAGGCCAGAGGAGACACGCTGTGGCCGGGAGTGCAGGCCGGCCAGATGGAAGGGCACTGGGGACTGGGGTGGGGCCTAGGGGAGGCCAAATGCACAGGCCTTGATCCTCCGGAAGTGGGGGTCAGTTCGGGGGAAGCCTCAGGACTCTGGTGTTGGGGTGGGCCCAGGATGGGTTGGGATGGGGGTTCGGGCCTGGGGCCTGGGGTTTGGTAGCCTTTGGGTAGTAATGCCTGTGGAATTTGATATTGGTGATCATGAAAACTGTGGGCCCCCCAGAGAGGCCCACTCTCAGCCCTGTCCTCAGACCCCCTTAATCACTGGGTGGGAGGTGGTTTTGTCTAGGACTTAAGCAGGATGCAGGGGTCTGGCTCCAGAGATCGGAGGGAGCCTGAGACATCAGAACTCTTCCTCCCCGTCGGGTATAAGGGACAGTAAAATCAGGGGCACACGGGGTGGGAGCAGGAAGCTGGACTCCATTTCATAGAGGTCAGAGACCCCAGGCCCCCACCTCCCCCATGGCCCTGCCTAGGCTCTCTGCACCTGCCAGCCTGCCTCGTGCTGAGTCTGGGCACACAGCGCCCCCTGCTGGCCTCTTTGGGGGCAGCAGGGCTTCGCTGAGGCCACTGAGGTCTGGCTCCCAGTTCACTGGAATTAGGGAGTCTCTGCCTAGGCCCTGAGTCTTTGTAATCTTTGACCCCTGCTTCCCTTAAGGGGAGAGGACAGGCTTGCTTGCTTGCTTGCTTGCTTGCTTGCTTTCTACCTCCCTCCCTTATGTTTTATTCATCCATAAACATTCCTGACCGCATTGTTTGTGCCCTGAGCCAGGAAGTGTGGGGGACAAGTACACTCAGTCCCCTCCTCAGGAGGAGCCAGTGAAGTGGGGGTGACCACAGTCATTTCTCAGATGACAGATCTCCAGTGCCAGTGAAGTCTGCTCGAGAAGAAATGTGCAGGGACTCTGAAAGTGTCTGATGGGGACCTGCTTGAGCTTGAGGGTCCGAGAGGGCTGTCCTGAAGTGGGAAGAAGTGGAGGGCAGGGGTGGGAGAACATTCTGGCAAGGGGTGTGGTGGTTCCCCTGAGGAGAGTGACCGCCCAACCCAGCAGTGGGCAGCTACAGGTCTCATGAGGCACCATCCTTGTCCACACGTGTCCCTGGCCTGGCCCGGGCCTGACCCTCTGCCCTTCTCTGGCCCAGGTTCTCCTACTGGAAGCAGCGGAGCGACCCTCAAGTCCGGACAATGACCTGCCAGCCCCCCAGAGCACCCCACCACCCTGGAATGAAGACTTCCTCCCTGACGCTATCCCCCTGGCACACCCGGGGCCCCGGAGAAGGCCCACAGGCCCGGCTGGTGAGTGAGGCCTACAGGGGAGGGCTCAGATCAGCCAAAGAGGCCCGGGCATGGCCTCCCAGGGCATCCACAAGTAGGTTGTGACTAGGCCTCTGGGTCAAACATGCCTACATGGCATTTTGAAAAATTGAACTAACATTTAAAAACTGGAGGATTTCACACATAAAGATCAGGATTTCTAGCTTTTCCTAGGAAAATAAAAGATCTAGTTATTGGGGCTAAATTCCTGCATGGAAGCAACTGGCTATAGCTAAGTCATGTCTGCCCCCTCAGATCCGGCCTAAGCGCTGCAGTGTGCCACAGTCCCCACCACTCCTTATTGTCTTACAGTCCAGCCACTGTCCTTATTAGCTGCCCTGCTGCTCCTTAGCATGTTCATTTAGGCCCCCAGCCCAGCCTTCTCCTTGGTCTCTCAATTTACAGCAGCTCCTCCCTGCATACCCCCAGGGACAGGGAACTCATTGCCTCCCACCACCTTCTGAGGGTGCCTGCTAAGCTCTCTGGCTGGAGTTGGGGGACATCTGTTGCCCTGTTATTTTTCTCCCTTCCCTCCACACTTTACAGTCAGGAATAAAATTTTCTCCCTGCGGCTTTCATTCATTGGCTGGGGCTCCGTCCTCTGGGCCTGCAAATAGTAATAATAATTGTAATAGCAGTAGCTCGAATTGTTGAATGCCTACCTAGTGCCAGGCACTGTGCTGGGCCTTTACCTGGGTGGACGTTTAGCTGGCATCTGTCAGTATGGCTGAACTCAGGGGTTTAAGGCTGGTGTCTCTTCTGACTGGTCAGAATCCATGCTGTGCCAGTTATTAAATATTTTTATATCACCCTAGGCTGGATAGATATCCTTTCTTGTCATTCCAGTAAGCTCATAAAGCTTGGCGTGACAGAGGAGAAAACAGGCTCAGAAAAGTGACGCCTGGGGTCACCCAGCAATCCAGGGCAATGTCCCCGTGATTCCTGGCCCCACTGGAGCCCTTTGGAGGTGATGCTCTCCCTCCCTCTCCTCTCTGCAAGCTGAGTCCCCAGCTTCTTAGCGCCCTTGCCCAGACTCAGCGCTGAGCACATGCCCCCCCACCCCTTTCCCTGCCTCCTCTGCCCTGTTTCACGTATATGCCCATCCTGTCCAGAGCAGAGAAAGCAACCCCCTGCAGTGGGAGAGTTGACCTCCAGTGGCCAGTCCTGGGGCCAGGGGAGGAGCAGATATTTTGCATTCTTCTGATGAGGCTGAGGCTGTGGGAGGACTGGTGAGCTCAGGCCTACTGTGGGCATGGGGGGTAGGGATCAAACTCTGGGCCCCCTGGCCTACTTCTCTAGCCACTGTCCCCAAGGTCTCATCACAGAGGGCTGCCCCATGCCCATATTCTTCAAATCCTTCTTCTGGGGGATGGGAGGGGGAGATTGGGAGGGGCTCTGGGTCTTCTGGGCCAGACCTTTCTCTTTCCCAGGGAAAGTGCAGTTCCAAGGAATGGCCACAAGGTGGGGCACAAACCCTACAAATGGTGACACCTGGGTTCTCCCTGGAATCCCAGAGAACAGGTGAAGTCTCCCCAAATCAACAGGCCCTGTTAAACCCTTCCTCCTGGACCACAGTCACGCGCATTTGGAGCTAGAGGGACCCGAAGAGCCAGCGCGGGCCCCTACATCGGTCCAGCAAGCATTTCTGAGCACACTCTCCAGCCATTCCAGAGGGAAAAGGGGCTGTCCCCTAGCCACACGGCGTGCTTCTTATGGCTCTATGTTCTCTAGCTCACCCTTGGGGCCTAGAGACCACAGAGCTGGGCAGGCATGTCCACTGGGACTTTCTGGGGCCTCCAAGGAGGCCTTGGGGATCTCTTTGCCCCAAGTCCAATTCCCAACCCTGAGCAGGGAGGCAGAAAGATGTGGAAAGAGGGTCCTGACTCATCTACACCCTGGCTCTGGGACCTTGAGCAAGGGACAACACCTTTTTGAGCCTCAGTTTTCCCACATGTCAAATGGGTACAAAAGCAGCTCTTGAGATTGTAAAGGTTAATAGGTATACAAATAGTGTGTAAACTGTAATGACTGATTCGAGCTGACTGGTCCCCTTGCCCAATTGGGGAAGCCATAGGTGGGTGGGGCTCCTGGGTGCAGGTCTGACCAGACAGCACAGGTGGTCAGGCCTGGAGCCACCAGTTCAGTGTTTTCAGTCCTCTTCTCATTCTCTCCCCAGGCCCCCCGGGGCAGACAGGACCACCAGGGCCTGCAGGCCCCCCAGGCTCCAAAGGTGACCGGGGCCAGGCAGGAGAGAAAGGCCCAGCAGGGCCTCCTGGTAAGGACACTGACTTTGTCCTTTGTCCACGGGCTGGGGGTTGGGGGCGGGGGTTTTCCCCTATCCAAGCAAGCGAAGCATCCTATACATCTGCTCTTGCTGGGGCGAGTGATTACCACCTTGGGGGAGGGGGGAGACGGGATTCAGGCTTACCTCCTTCTACCAGCACCCTAATTGCTGCCCATCCCAGGCACTGTAGAGCCTGGCCTCACTCTGGGCTGCAGGAAGGAGAGAACGCTCTAGGAGCTGTGGGTGCCGGTGTTGGAGTGGGGCTGCCAAGAGCTCAGGGTTGTTTTCAGCCATTTAAACAACATCCCCAGAGAGCCCCCAACTCTTCCTGGGTCCTGCAGGGGAGGGACCCCTGGTCAGGCTGGCTGCCACCCTTGGTGCTCTTGCCTCAGAGCTGAGGTTCCTTGCAGGGGGCAGAGGGTATCAGGCCAGAGCTGTCTTTTCCTCCCTTCCCTGCCACCTACTGTCCCAGGGTTCTCTCTGCGTGGGGCTGGGAAGAGGAAGCCATTTCATTTACATTCCAGGACAGCCCTCCCTGGAGACTGAGGTCTAGAGGCCCCCACTGATCCTTGCCAGTCCTATCCCCTTTAGGGCCTGTTTCCTTTCAGTAATGGTAGCTGCCCGGCCCGACCCTCACTTGACTCCTCTTCATCCCGTTGCAGGTCTGTTGGGGCCGCCTGGGCCCCGCGGACTTCCTGGAGAGACGGGGCGCCCCGGGCCCCCTGGCCCCCCCGGCCCAGCAGGCAGCCCGGGCCTCCCTCCAAATGGCCCTCAAGGCGTCCTCTACTCTCTGCAGCCACCTACCGACAAGGACAGTGAGTGTCAACCTGAAGGTGGGGGGCAGGCCTGAGCTGCGCTGTCTGCTGGGGGATCAGCCCTCCCTCGAGGACCCTGTGAAGGGACCCATCAGTGAGTGGGGCGTCAGCTTGGGAGTGGACTCCACCAGGTGGGGGTCCCTGGGAGACCAAAACTGACTCCCCCAACCCCACTTTGGCCCCAGCATGACCTGTTTCTGCCTTGGTGCTTAGCTCCTGTCTCTGGGGTCCTGACACCCCAAAGGTCACTCTGCTCTTTGGCCTGGCCTCTGTTTCCCCACCTGATGATGGCAGCACCACCAAGGTCATCCATTATCACATCTCCTCATCACAAATGCCCTCACTGCAGGTCATCTGACAAGTATTGAGTACCTACTGTGTGTCGTCGCTGGGGATAAAGCAGCGAGCAAAACAGACAGACTTCTGCCCTCAGGGCCACAGGCTAGTGCAAGAGGGCACATTTGAGTAGCCAGAAGCACCTGCCTACACGTGGAAAAGCCCATGTGTGGAGACAGGGGCAGAGGTAGTCACCCCGTCCCAGCCATTTCCTGAGTCTGGCTGCTCTGGCCTGGCTCTGAGGATGGGGCAGGGAGGAGTCACATGGGCTCGCCCTGGAGGGTGACTCTAATGGGAGACACACGTTAGACCCCACCCCTAGGCCTTGATGGATGCGGCTCAGAGGGGTGAGTAGGGAGGGCTTCCTGGAGGAGGCCCCATGGAGTGAGTCAGGTGGGTACATCAGGATGGGCATGTGAGGTGGAACCTGGAAGAGAGCGTCAGCTTAGGGCATTGGGGAGGTGAGTGGGTTGGGGCCCGAGTCTAAGGGCCTGGAATGTTCAGGAAGGAGTTTGTCTTTATACGAAGCCCACTGGACGTTTGCGGCCCTTTGACCTGGCCTCTGTGTGCTCTTCTGAGTGTGGGAGCAATAACATCTTTTTGTCGGGTCTACTGTGAGGCCCAGTAGGGTCTGGGTGCCTGTCCTGGCTTCAGAGGGGACCTCAGGTTCAGCCTCCCAGCTGTGCCTGCTCCACCCTGCCAGGTCACAGGCCACCTGCTCTTCCCGCAGATGCAGATTCACAGCTGGCTTCTGCCGTGGACACAGTGCTGGCAGGGGTCCCAGGGCCCCGGGGTCCCCCCGGCCCTCCAGGTAAGTGCAGAGAGCAACAGCAAGGCTGGCCTGAACTTGGTACCCCTCCTGGGTTTGGCCCGGGCCAAGAGACCTTAGGGGGCTGTTTGGGGGCTCTGGTCTTGGCAGGGTGCTGGGAACTTGGTCTGCCCCCAACCTGCTGTGTGGCCCTGGCTTCCGAGTAGCATCTTGCCTGTATGGCTAAACACAGGAACCCCAAGTTCCTGACGTCCACATGGAGCAGTTCAGGGCTGCCCTCATGTGGACCAGAGTGGAGGTGCACTGGGGTGCACAGAGTCCCAGGCCCAGAGAGCGTGGGGTCAACCCTGAGGTGGCTCAGGTTGGGCAGGTACCTATGAGAGGCAGCAGGCCCATGGCCTTTTAGTGGAAACCAGGGGCCCAAGGGGAAGGGATGGCCCTGGGGTTTGATGGGCTGAGCCTGGGTCTCTGGGTCTGGCCTGAGCCCCACCCTCCACAGACCCTCACTGGAAGGAAGGGGAGTGTAGGGCAGGGGTCATTGAAGCCCTGCCTGCCCAGCTGTGTGGATGCCCCGGGCCCAGAGCAGTCACTCCCTGTTGTTTATTTACTCTCGTACACATTCAGCGAATATTCACTGAGCAAGCTTTTACCTGCTGGGCAGTGTTCTGGGTCTCTGGGACACTTTAATAAACAAACAAAGATTCCTGTCCTGGTGTTACTTACGTTCTACTGTAGGAAGGCAAACTGCGTGCAAATACCGTAAGTAAAGTCCATAGCTCTGAGAGAGTGATGGTCGGAGAGCAGGGCTGGGGGACAGCCAGGCCAGAGCAGGCCTCATTTCAAAGGTGAGGAATTGCTGGGAAGAAAGGAGGGCGTGAGCTTGAGAGTACCTGGAGACCTCAGGTGATTTGCTGACTGGAGAGAGAGGGTTTGTTTGTTAACTAGACTCAGTCCAGCTGTGCGCCCCATCTGGCGTGCACTTTCCTGCACCGGTCCTCCCCACACATGGGGGCGCACTGGTACAGCCCAGCAGGGGGCTCCCTGCAGCCCGGGAGGCACAGGCCTGTGTGCGCATGCCACCAGGGACATAAGCCGCACTTTTCCAAGCGTGCTGAAAGTTCAGCCACGGACACTGCTCCCCGTGCTGGACACATGTGGCCCAGCCCGATTCTCCTGGCATTCCCTGGCCTATGGGGGAGACAGACATGTAAACTGACAGCAGCCAGGAGTGGTGGCTGGTCCATGTCAAGGGTTTGCCTAGGGGAGAGGCGGCAGTAGGGGGTGGGGAGGCTTCCTGGAGGAGGTGATGCTCAGCCTGAGACTAGGAGGAGAGACCAGTAGGAAACATTTTGGCAAAGAACAGCATTGGGAAGGAACAGCATTGGGAAGGAACAGCATTGGGAAGGAACAGCATTGGCAAAGACTCAGAAGCAGAGGAACTTTCTGGGAGGGATTCTGGGGAATGGGAGTAGAGGGGCCAGGATGAGAGGGGCCTTACTGAATGATTGTTCTGGGTGTCTGGATGGTCGGGAAGCGGTTGGAGTAACCCAGGCAAGAAGGATGACCTCGGAGAG